GGTGGAGCTGCCCCCCGGTGGGGCCCAGCAGCTGCCACATCCCCCCTGGCCATCGGCACGTCCCCCCAGCCACCGATGCTCAAGCAAAATCAGTGCCGCGGGGCAGCCGTGCTGGCATCGTCCCCATGCTCGGAGCCAGTCTGCGCTGCACGAGCCATCCCTCCTCCGTAGTCCCGTGGGCGTCCTCCATCTGCTCAAGCCCTGCGTCTCTTTGGCCGGTTGCTGGGTGTACCATGGAAGCACGCGGTTGGCACTAAGGTAAGGCCTTGATTTAATTTTTTTAGGGTGGTTATTTTTTTCCATGCCCTTGGGGAGTCCTTTCTCCTGGCTCCAAGATCTGAGCAGCCCCAGCCGTTAGCTGCACAGTTTGCCCGTCTCCTGCTCGACCGCGTTGGGCAGCTTGGCATTGAAGGCCCTCAAGGAGGACTGGATCCTCGCCACCTCGTTGTTGGCCAACTTGAGCCTGTGGCGGAGCAAGCAAGTGAAGAGGTCAAGGCGGGTTTTGCCAGGGGGTGACAACCTGTTCACCCGGTCCCTGATCTCCAACAGCTGGAGCACGGCTGAGTCCTGGGAGCCCTGTGTATAGGGGTAGTCCAGCTGAAGGATCAGGTCACGAATAGCGTCTGGTTCAAAGGGCAGGCTGTAGCCGAAGACTTGCAAGCTGTTGATTTTCATGTAACCCAGGTTCTTAGAGGGATCTGCCATCTCCAAAGGTTCGTAGTAGATCGTCTCGTTGGAGCTGTCGTCCAGAGACTTGATGCGGCTCCGCAAGTAGACATGGACCGTTTCAAAGAAGGTCTTCCACTTGTTGCCCAAGGTGAGCGTCCAGTTTTGGCACTGGGCAGAGGCATCTACGTTAGTCCTTTCCCAGTCTGGAAAGCTGCCCTCGTTGACGGGCATGAACCAGCTCTCTGAGTGGCTTCCCCCGAAGGGGTTGACGTAGATGGCCATGACGGGCTCCAGCGTGCTGTTCTTGGTGAGGCAGATCTGCAGGGAGAGGGCCAACATCACGTGAACCAGCCCAGGCTTGTACTTGTTGCTCTTCAGAGTCAAGAGCATGCGTTTCCTCCAGGAGGGGTCGAACCAGCTCCCAAGGCGCATGTCGTTGCTGATGAAGATGGAGTGCACCTCGATGCGGCTGTCCCGTTTCTGCAGGAGATACTTGAGCTCCAAGTCCTGCAGGTCCGTCTCCAACCCCAGGTAGTGCTCCAGCGAGTCGGCCACCTCCGGGCGGCAGAAGCCCTGGGTGAGCACGTAGCCGTGGTTGCAGGTCCCGCAGCGGGTGCTGTTGTCCTCGGCGCAGCTGGCGCAGGCTGGCCCCTCGCCCAAGGCACACGGTATGGTCCCCTGGCAGGAGGGCTGGTCGGAGGGACACGTGCAGCTGTGGCTTTCTTCCAGGAAGGTCCCAGGCACGGTGGTCTCGCTGCAGTACAGGAGCGACTGCGCACCTGGTGGAGAAGAGACGCAGGAGCAGAGATGCTTACGTGGCATCTTTACGGGTGCGACCAACTTTCCCCAGGGATGGAAGAGCTGCCCACCTTGTGTTCATTTTTCTGCACCGCTGGTAGGCCCCCCATGAAGCCCCATTTTCCACCTCCAGGCTTAGACCCAACCTCTCAAGGCAACATCCCAGGGTGGCATGGCTGCCCCCGCCGCCTGCCCACCCCTGCGCCT